CACTTGGAACCGAATCGTATAGATTATGAGCAAATACTGCTTACTGTATGTCTTTTTTTTTTGGTAAATTGCCCTTTCTATAGTCGTAAAAGGCAAACGATAGGATGTGGCTGGCACAGACAGGCAAGTCGTTCAAAACCACCACCAATGCATAGCCCTTCAAAATGACAAGTAGCGCCGTTAGTTGGTAGCCGAAAGCGGCGCGACAAATACCAACAGACACCATGCAGGTGGTTTTTACCGGGAGCTTATATGTCTCAAGTGGCTCGTTCATGGAACGTTGGACAACGGCAAATGGTCGTGGAAAAACTGTCAAAGCGACAAATCGCGTTGAACCACCAATTCCCAAAGATGAAAGGATTTAGATTTGTCAAGATGGCTTTCTCATGGGATTCCCTAAGAATGGTGGACGGCGTAATCGTCAAAGAACAGCCTATTACTTATAAGGACGTCTGAATACAGTGGCGATTACGGAATACGCCGTGCATTCGACTTATGGCTACAAGCTTCAGAATGTCATTTGAGTAGATAAGCACATTTATTGTTCCCTCCTGAAGTAAAAATTGAATTCAAAAAATGGTTTCTTTCAAGCAGGTGAACTTTCCATGTTGCACCATCCCACTTTTTGTCTCAGCGCCTTACATATCGCTGGTAAACAAATAAATGGAAGTCGGCACAATGTTTTGAGTTCATTACTTTACTTGGGAGAACTGTTATCAGCCTAATTCGTTAAGAAAATATATAATGTAGCGCCGACCAGGCTAGACATTTTGTTATACACATGCAATCAGACCAAATTCCTGACAAAGTGCAAAGGCATGGCTTAGTCGGCGCATTCAATTTTTGAAATGGAGTGGAGGATATTTTAACGATATAATGTATCATCTTATTTGATCTGGAAAAATCAGTACAATTCCTTTTTTGTCTTTCAACTGATTGCGATGTGAAAACTCGTCCGCAATCTCTGGATTACTCCGCGAAGTGGAAACTCGTACACCCTTATTGAAGTGCATGGTAGTGTATAGTGGTTTATGAGAGATACTTCTTGACACTTTTTCCAAATCTCATTGTAACTCTAATGCGCGGATTAATCGATACATCGATTGGCGTCAATCGATATTTGTTTTAGTACCTGGATATTTCATTTCATTACTAGTTATCTTACGCTCTACAGTATCTTACGTGCTCGCTTTCGCCCCATCAGTTTTGCCCGAGATTTGCTCGCCATAAGTACCTCCTACGCCCTCTTACTTCCACAAGATAGTTGCTCCGAAGACCAGCGATGAAAACCCAGTCAGGGGTTGAAGAAAATCGCGTCTGGAATTCAAGGTTTCGGTTTTAATGGGGTTCATACTCCGTCGTATCGTTCGACGATAAAATCAATATTCCAGTTGTGTTTCAGGTTCGTCAGAATCTCGTAATTGGGCATTTGGTTCATCGACACCACGCGATCTTGCACATATGACAGCTATTTCATCGGCACAACGAGTCTACGATGCAAAATCGCCCAAGAAAAGCGTTACGTCACCGGAATTTGTTGCCACACCTGTGCATAAACGAAGCACAACTGGTGAGTACGGTATTTCCCTCTTAGGTATAAACTTCGCTCTTTTTCTTCGTTTTATCGGTTTCCTCTGAATTTGTTTCATAGAGTTTTGAAATGAACGCTGCTCAAAATTGACCCATTGGGTATTCCGAGTGGGATTCTGCAGTCCAGTCCAATTTATGGGTTTTATGTTAGGGAATGTATTATGTAGTATTACTATCATACTGTAATCCACATGAAAGGAATTGCCATTAGCTTCAGCACACTCCTGGCATAAGCCCCATTTCTGACCATTTGGCAAGCGCTTCGCAGCTGAGGGAGCTGGTACCACACTTGTAGACATGTCCAATGAAATTATCCGAAAAAAGAGCGAATTAATCTACGTTGGATCCAAAACTTTGACAAGTACTTAAAAAGACGTTGGGAGGTGCAACAGACTCGGTTCGGGACCTCACGTCTGCGCGCGTTTGCGTTGCGGCAGCATTACTAGTCTGGCAATCTGCACTCTACTGATGACACAGATTATAATGGTAATGACTATACGATTTAGTTGTAGAAACAGTTTTTGGCCTTTGAGGACTTGCCAGATGGCCTACCCATGCGAGAAATAGCCTGGATATCTGAAAGGCTCGAAATTTGATGGAAGCGCTTCAGACAGGAGTTCAGCATTTTTTTCGTTCTCTGCCCGATTAGGGACTTAGTTTCGTTGGTGTGACTGAGGCCAGAAGGAGCGTCGCCCGCCATAAGTACTTTCTACGCCCTTATCTTTCCACTAGATGATTGTTCCGAAGACCAGCATGAAATGAAAGTCCAGTCAGGGGTTGAAGACGATCACGTCTGGTCCGAGTTTTTGGCTTTAGTGGGGTTCATACTACGCCGTATCGTTCAACGATTAAATCAATATCCGAGTTGTCAGAGTTAGTAGATTGTGATTGATGAATCCCCTTCATGATTAGACAAAAATTGTGTCCAGTCACTTCAGAAGAGGCGGTGNAAATCAGTACAATTCCTTTTTTGTCTTTCAACTGATTGCGATGTGAAAACTCGTCCGCAATCTCTGGATTACTCCGCGA